ACCTTGATTCACAAGGTTTTTAAGCAAAGATGGATAGTGGCTAGCAGCGCCCTGGATTCCACTGCTAGCCACTATCCATCTTGGCTTATTCCAACGATAGTAAATAACAGGCACATAGATGTTCATATAAAGTTATTTCCCATGTCATGAAATAGTGTATTGAATGTTTATTTAAATGTTTACGATAGCGATTGTAGCATTGTTTTTTTAAAGGAGCTGCACCAAAATAATGAACTAGAACTATGGTAGATTTAAGGCATATTAAAGAATATCTTGTAAAATCGATTACACATTCCAATAATAACTCCAAATCAGAAATTCCACTTAACATCATTGTTCCCATTGATCCAGAATACGTTATGATGGATAATCCGTTGATATAGACGGCTGCAGTAATTCCTGTAGAACTTTTAATGTAGTTCGCTGTAGTTATACGTTTATAGAGTTCTCATTTAGTCAAAACAACCGTGATCATTTAAACCGACTACGTTTTTCATGTATCTCAGACTAAGCACTGTATTATCTGGGGACAGGATGCTTCAAGTTAAATATTTAAACCTTTAGACGTGATGTCAAAACAAAAATCACGTAGAAAGATGGATTTTTAGTATAAGTGGACATGAGTAAAGTGCTGTCCTGTTTGATATCTTTGAGAAGTGTGAAATTGATTACAACCATCATGTGACTTTCACGTAAAAATGGTCTCAGACTTTAGATCGTTGCTTTACTGACAGTCAGAATGAATCAATTAGCATTTTATGATGTAATTTCGAAGTTTTTATTTCGACCATGGTACGGCAGAGTGGGGGAGTCAGCTCTACCTCTCCACGTGCTCTCACATGGACACGTATATACAGCCACTGTCAAGAAAGTCTCACTCACTGCCTTCTCGCGGCATTACTGTTGTTTACCAAATTGAGAGGATGAAAAGCGAATGGCCGGCGCTTTAACCGGGTTGTTTTATACGGAAGATCCACCTAGGGGAGTTGAAAAACACTGATTCCAAACTAATGGTGTATATGGGCTCCAGTATCCTGAGGGAACAATTGGTATATGAACCAATCGTTGTTCACTGGCTACCATGGGACTGGATCTCCTTACGTTGCTCCAATGCCTTGTTGATTAGACCTTTAGGTTGAAGGCTTCGTGTGCAGCCCCCTAAGAAAACCACCTGTTTCGGCTTGGGCACCCAGGCAGTATCATACCCCACACACAAATGAAGTGACTTATGTGGCGCATATGTATTCGTACCCCTTTGTATCAATTTTATGTATTCAAATAAATAAATAAATATAGCACACTCAGTTTCGATTACACTACTTTTTATTTAAACACAATCTGACTGTTTTCCGTCCAATAAAATCAGAGATCTTTAAATATATGTTTTCTAGTTATTCCTTTAATGTTTCTCTTGTGGAATTCACATTTTAAAATACCTAGAATTTACAAGTAGATTTACTACTTAAATTACAGTACAAAGTAGTTAAAATACTGTAATGAAATAAAATTTTACAGCTGGTTTTAATGGGCTACTTGGATTTGCGTCTGAATTTAAGATTACTAGGACTGCTGACAATACATCTGATGTAAATTAAACTGTATAAGTATAAATACATGGAGATTGTATATGACATTAAATATTTTTACAATCTTCGTGTTTACTGAAATGGAATTATCCGTTAACTTAAGTCATGTCATACTTCCGTAAATCATTTGCGAAATGTTGAAAACACTACGATTTACTTATTACTCACCGTTTGTTTCAAACGCAATCGCGTTATCCACTTAGCTACTGGGTCCTGATAGTCACTTACTTATGTAATGAGGTGAACGGTACTTGGTTCGAGTCCCAGGTTAAATATAACCTTTAAGATGAAAGCACAAATTCAGCTGACGAGTTCCAAACAGGAAGAAATGCTCGTCCTAGATTCTACTACTAGCCATTATTTATCTTTATATTACTCAAAAGTTATATAATCCAAAGATATTGATATTTCAAGCAGAAAGTCTCATAAATATATAATAACCTGCCTAAAATATTACTTAGTATTTTCTAATGTTTTTGACTGGTAATATCACTCCATCATTATCTACCTTGTTTTATTCTGTAAATGAGTTTTAAATGTATCACCTAATTAGATAAATAATAGATGAGCAGTTAGTTATGGAACTTTTAAGCTTTATTAATCTTAATAAATTTACTTTTATTTTAAATATAAGTTTATGTTATCAACTTTGTGTTTCATTATTTGTATAAGAAATATTGTTATTAATCAGTTATTCAAACTGAAGCTGTTGAATCACTAATCTACTTACTATCTTATATTCACTCTTAGAGATAAATAGTATTATTCTATGTTGTACTTTACGGCTGCGAAACATGGTTATTAAGAGTAAGCTACTAGTAATTGATCACAGATGTCTTAGAAATATTGCTGGCATCTGCTGGGATCACCGGGTAAGTAATAATTAGGTTAGACGCATGGTATTAGGGAATGATGGTAAATCAGTTGATAAGGTTGTGAATCTTCATCGACTGAGATGGTTGGGCCACGTGTTGTCTGAACACCTATTACCACGACGTGCAATGATAACCAGTGTTGGGGATGGTTTGAAGAAAGTTAGGGGCGCCCAAACCAAAGCGTGGCATCAGTGCTTGAAGGCACTGACTTCTAGCGTGAGTCATGTTGGTAGATGCAGACTACTTGGTTGGAGTCCGCGTGACTATCGTAACCAATGGTTGGAGACTCTTGGTGACATGGCTCAGAATCGATCACAATGGCGTCGGTGTATACACTCTCTATCTTCCCTTAAACTAAGAGATTAAAATCGCTTCATATCTTTCTTTCTACGTACTAAATCTTTCTTCCTGTACTATATCCCTATATACAATCTTTCTTTTATATATTACTACCATCGACCTAACTACTCCTATGAATCCGGTGTTCATCTTGTAATGTATTTAATTAACTAGATTTAAATAAATATCCTTTGTTTAATCTCTTTTTTCCGGCTATTTTGAAGTTACCAGATTCACTCTTTCTCTTATTCCCAACTCGTATACAAGCACTATTCTCAACATCATGTACGATAGCATGGCGAATGTTTGCTGCCTGTTTTTTTTCAACATCAAACTTGTATTTCACGGTTATGTATTTCTTGATAGTAGCGAGTGAAATGCACTTACAACCCTTAACCGCCAAAATAGCCGCTGTTATCATATTGATTACTTTTTATTTTTTATTTATTTATTTATTTATTATTATAAGCTTTATTCAATATTATATTTTCGGTACAATATAGAATTCTCAGCACAAAGTATTTCAACAAGTTTCCGTTTCTTTCTTCTGGGTCGATCCTGACGATAAATATTGAGTGATAGCCAGTTAGATGTTAGCAGTCCAGTAAATAAACATCTGAATAATGTATATTCTTTTCTCTGCATATTGCCAGCGACCACATTATCTCTTATTGAGCTTTTGGTAACTTTGACAACGAAAGGTTGTAAACTTTTCAGAAATGCACAAGGATGGGTTATGCGATTAATATACATAATGTAAATTAAAACAAACAAAAATAGATAACTTGTTGAAATATTTAGATGACAGGAACAGGTAGCCCAGATGCTCAAGCAGGCCGCCGCAGTTACTGGCCGGTGCTTTAGGCTTCTTTACTGGGAGAGTCACTGAAGTACTCATAACTAAACTTTCATTTCAAATTGTCATTTAGAAACGAGAACAAATTCAAAGTATATTGCATTCATTATAAACTAACTTTAATTCTTCCAATTAAATAAACAATCATCAGTTTGTTTAAGTCGAAATTCAATGTTTCTTAAATACATTTTTTTAAAAATAAGGAGCGGGGGGGGCTAAGGAGAAAACTCCTAAAGCTTCCGTTTTATGTTTTTATCATCCCATAACTTGTAAACATTTATTCCAACTTATATCATAATGAGAAAATATGTATATATATATATATATATACTAGTTAAAAGAAAAAACATAAACACCAACTAATGTTGATTGTTCTTGTTTCCCCCCCCCCTTGCCTCTCTTTCTCTCCTTATACATAAATATACAGTCAATCAATTACAATATAGGATCAAGCACATATATCCATTGATCCAAGTTACTTCATTACTTCATTAATACAAATAAGATAAACATCGAATTCATAGAAATAGTTACTTCAATGATCATAGTAATATATAAATGAATGATTGTATATAAGAATATATATATATATATAGTAAAGAAAGAAAGGTATAAAGCAATCTCATAATTTAAAGAATTATAATATACAATAAAGAAAATTGAAAATAAAACTTAAACAAAATTTGAAATAATTAAACTAACAATAAATTCAAATTTTAAATATTTCTAATTTCTCAAGGTCATTCATTATGGATAGATATTTAAATTGAACTAATGAATACTTATGTTTCATTGTTTATTTGTTTGTTTGTTTTTCAAAATAATAATCATTTGAAAGTTATATCATCAATGTAAACATAAAATTCTTTTCTTTTTTCTTCTTTTCTTTTTGCTTTTTTTATTCTTTTCTCTTTTATTCTTTTCTCTTTCTTTTTTCTTAAAGAAGACAAAAAAAATAGAAATAAATTTGGAGTTTTATTTTATTCATAAGAATATGAAGAATATTGATAGTCTATGAGAATATTTAATGAAACTATAATTTATGGAAAACCTTTAAGTGATGATAGACTGATTTTGAGAGTGTCCACGTGGTAACTAAGACCAAATGATAGTGGTTATAAATTAGTGTAAAGAATTCGAATTATGATTTATAATTGATGGTTAGGATTAGAAATTTAGATTTAAGATTTTCATCACAAACTGACATCAGTTATAATGCTGAAACTCTATTTAGTCAAATGGAAAAATAAATTTCGCGCCAAAATCTGAGACCTGTTATCTGATGTGTGATTGATTCGTTTATAAATTATAGTCTCACGAAATATTTAATTTGTTTCTTCTTTCGTTGTTGTTGTTGTTGTTGTAGGGTGATAAGTAAAAGAGAGAGAAAAAAAGAGAAAAAGTGTATTCATGATTTGTATTTTTCATAGGTGTGTTGGTTTAAATGAACTAAAAATTTTGTTTTGTTGTTGACTGTTTACACGATATTGTGCAATAGATCTGAAATTAGAAAAATAATAAAATTTTAAAAAAATAATTTTATTGGAAGATTTATATTACAAACAATATGTTAATCAACAGTATAGGATTGTAAAGATCATTACGTTTTTGATTGGGATCATGAACTGATTGATGTTAGATCACCATTGAAAAGCTGCATACACTGGACGGATGTTTCATCGTATTCTAGGACTCCTCAACAGTGTGCATATACGATCCTGCTCGCAGGATTCGAATACAGGGTCTTCAGTCTTGCGCGTGAACGCTTAACCTCTACACCACTAAGCCATCCGATATTCTACGGTGTCAATGTCTCATCTCAACCAATCGACGAAGTTGAGTGACCATCTTCCATCGTACTGAGGTAGATATCCGTCTCTACCCGACACGGATTAGCTCTACTGGTCACGGTTTCTCATTAGAATTCCGAGAATTTGATCACGAAGCTAGTCACTAGTGAGCATATGGCAGTTATCAGTATAGGGTTGTAGAGAATGTTTAATTGAATATTAAACTAAAAATATGATGTAGGGCGATAAGTAAAAGAAAAAGAGAAAAAGTCTATTAATGATTAATACTTTTCATAGATGTATGCGTTTAAACGAACTAAAATTGTGTAATGGATTTGAACTAAGAATAATAATGAAATTAAAACTAAAAAATAATAATTCCATTCGAAGATTTATATTCGTTATAACTTGTGACATGAGTGCCCTGCTAATGTATAACATGATGATACCGCCAATTAGAAAGCAGTGGATTATCGATCGGACCAATGACGCATACAACCCATGCGAACAGTAATTATTGGTCTAGCTTCCTGACTAGCCCTGTCGGCCTGGTGAATCCAGAACACTAATTTCAGCCTCTACAATGTGAATCATTTATTTCAAACATACTCGGTTTATATACCAACCAGACAGACCACACCGTACCAATAAAATAGGAAACAACATTTGTGCATGAGTTAGTCAAATGTGGCTGTGAACGGGTAAGGTATTAATAATAGACAGGGCATAATTCAAGAATGATAAATCGTATAATAATAGTTCATAGGTCAAAATAAAGATCATAATAAGAGGGACATGAATATGTATAGTTTAGTTATTTACGCATTATACAATAAAAATATACGCATAGTATTGGTTCAGAAATGGATCACAAAAGTTACTATTCATTATTCTTATCGGAACATAACAAACCTGATACATTTTCTTTTGTTTTTTTAATAGTTCAGATTGTTACATCAAATCAATAAAGTGAGATGGAGTAATAAGTCAGGATTGAAGATTGATATGATTTCGTAAAAGATTATTCAGAGATGGATAATGGGTAGCAATGTAATCCAGTTTGATGCGCGCTTCGTCTTATTTGAGACTCGTCAACTGGATGTACCTGCATCTCAGGGTTGATGTTCACTTCGACACTCGAACCCAGTAAAGTTCACTTTAAATGTCATCATATTATCCACTTAGCTACTGTGTCATAATAGTCACAGTTTCAGTTGTACCAGGGTTTATTTGTATAACTGTTTATTTGGTTAATAAACAAGGTCCCACTTAGGTGCTAATTTATTTGTACAATTTTATAAAAAGCTAATACTTTCGAAAAATCTTATTACCATCCATGTTCAGTGTTAAAACAATTAACTGAATGTTACTATGTTTATTTCTGTTTTATTGCCTACAATTTTGAAATAGTCAGTAATGTTAACATGGAGTATCTTTTCTTAACAATAATATAAACTATATTTGTGTAAATTCATTTTTGTATTGTTTGTTTGAATCTTCCCATTGATGTTTTTGGTCTACAATTGATCAATCTCTTATTGGCATATGTACATACTCTTTGTATTGCCTCGAGATTACCCTAATTCACAAGCATTCTAAGCAAAGATGGTTAATGGCTAGCAATGGAATCCTCAAAGTGAATATCAACTCTCAGATGCAGGTACATCCAGATGACGAGTCCCAAACAGGATGAAATACGCGTCCAACTGGATTCCCCTGCTAGCCACTTAACCTACCCTGGTAATACTGATTTATTACCCAGAGTAGTTATCACATTGTTTTTGTGTACTTTATTATTATTATTTTTCTTTGTTACGGCTTACGTTTAATCTGTTCAGTTGACTTTTTAATTTTCAGATAAAAATGTTCTTAACAACTACATTATGTGTGATCAGATTGTTCGAAATATATTGTGCTAATATATCAACACATTAGCTCTGCTAAACTTCGCCTCATCATTCCATTATCGAAACTTATCAAAGGGATTAATTGTTTTAAAATACTTTCTTCTAGCTTATATAGAAATCAGTTTTATAAATAGTTTTATAAAATAGTTTTTAATAGCCCGTTATCTGAATCCAATTAGAGTGTATGAATGATTGTTATTGAAATATACATATCACCAATCCTTGTATATGATGATCAATTTAAATCGTGTTAATGAATAACGGAATTAAATAAGCTAAATATGAGAATGCATTTTGAATACGTGTGTTTCATACAATCATTGATCTAGACAAACGAGCGAAGAAACGAAGAGAAGAGGAGAGAATGAAGCGAAATGACGCTCAATGGAGAAGGTGTGTGAGCCAACTTGATTTAATTAACCGTTAATCAATATTGATAGTCACACAGAAATAAGCTACAAACATGTGGTGAATAGGATAAGTAAATGAACACACGTACGCTCTAATAAAATGAACCAGGATTGATAACTCCCCAAATGCTCTCACGTGAACACGTGTATACAGCCACTGCCAAGAAAGTCCTACTCACTACCTTCTCGCGGCATTACTGTTGTTTACCAAATTGAGAGGATGAAAAGCGAATGGCCGGAGCTTTAACCGGGTTGTTTTATATGGAAGATCCACCTAGGAGAGTTGAAAAACACTGATTCCAAACTAATGGTGTATATGGGCTCCAGTATCCTGAGGGAACAATTGGTATATGAACCAATCGTTGTTCACTGGCTACCATGGGACTGCAACTCTTCACATTGCCCTACTGCCTTGTGGATTAGACTTTTAGGTTCTAAGAAAACCACCTGCATCCGTTTGGGCACCCGTGCAGCATCCCAACCCTCACATAAATCAAATGATTTATATGGCACATATCTATTTGGTGCCTACTTGTACCAATGTTTATATGTTTAAATAAATAAATAAGGATTGATAAGTATTCACTTAACAAGGTTAAAAGGTAACTCAATAAGCATGGATAAATTAACCTGTCCAGAAGCTAGAATAAGTTATGTAGGTTTAACATGGTAACTCACACTACAAGTTACATTGCAGCATTCATAATAAATAATAGGATAAGTTTCTTCGGTGTTATATGGGATAAATAAGCTGTGACTGTTTTCATATATAACAGCAAATAATGAATACATTTTTCTGCGGTTATTATCGTTGTTTTTTTGGTAATTTTTTAATACTTCATTTAATCCCAATTCAACAGAATAAACTGATTGGATCTTTAAATGAAACTGTACATTTGAAATCTCGAAACTTAATACATTCTAGTTGCATTTACAACTGACTCTGACCGTGAAACTGAGTGACACGAGATCGGATCCGTCAGGGTGCACCAATCCACTTAAGATTACAGGTACGCCTTGCTGACGGGTGCCAAGTGGCATGAAACCCAGGTCCAGGGTTTCCTGTTGACTACCGCCAACCATCATCTTACATTCCAGTTGTACATAAAGGTGATTACTGATGATATTTTAAAGAAAAACTGTACTAATGTATGGCAGAATCCACTTGGTATTGTTTGCTTGTCTTCCAATTGTTGTTTAGGACTGCGATTAATCAGTCTGATGAGTCCAAAATGGGACGAAACACACGTCCTAGAATCCACTACAAGCCGCCATCTATCTTCGCTTATAATGTATGTCAGGATTAAAAGGTCAATCAGATTGAAATATTGAAATGATTTCTTAAGTAAAAAAGAATAGAAATTCTCATACAAAAAGCAGTGATCTTTTATTTAGAAACAAGATTTACATGATAACTGTTGGGGTGATCCAGAAAACTTCTCGCAAAAGACAAGAAAGGCTCAGGAAACACTAAGAGGCATTTTATCCAATCAGAGTTCATTAGAAGTTTGGCCAGAAACATCAAGAAAGTGAAAACTCACATGTCGAGTTTCTAATTGGCTGATTATTATGCTGCTACTACGTTTAGTAGCATAATAGAATTCTCGGGAAACGCAATGACATCTAAAATATTACAAAAACTTTATATTTTCTGCACTAAAACGAACCTTTCGAGTAAAGTGCTTCTCGCATAGTTTGCGGCTTTTCTCTCGTCTTCAGGTCGCTGTGTAGTTCTAGCTTGGGGGTTACGAGAATAGCTTAAGAACCGAATATAGCATTCAATTATCAAGAGTTATCAATAACTGATTATATTTGAGTGATGCATGCAAATTGCTTAAAAGCTATTTTAATGTTAATATTTCGTTATTTGAACTCTAAACTAACGACTGAGCAGTAGGAATAGTCAAGCTGAAATACTTAGATTGTTTAATGCACTCAACGTTTCCCAACCACCTAAGTTAATGGGAAATATACAGAAAATTAAGAGCTATTGATCTACATAGTGGAAACTTATGATTTTTATTCGGATACATCTTAAAAATTTCAATGTTGTAACTTCCGGAGCCTGTAACCAGTACAAGTGGGGTGTGTGCTTTCCTGCTTATGTATGGTAAAAAGCCACGACTTCCAATGCATAATAAAACCTAGCCACAACAACAAAAGTGGACGGCAACAAAGTTAAGAAAACAGAGGAGAGAGGCAATAAGAAACGTAGAAAAGAAACAAATGTCAGACACAAAGAAATTGAAGCAGTAGAGAAGAACGTGGGAGCCTTTTCTATTGGGGAATTCGGTAAAGTGTAGAGAACGGAAAGGTAACATAGCAAGGGGACCAGGGTCAGGAAAGCTAATCTCGAAGTCGAAAGGACCTTAAATTGTCATGGCGAGACGTGA